TGTGGATGAGGTGAAACGGAAACGAAAAAAGCACTAAAGAGCATCAAAATCGACAAGTCAAAAACTGTTCTGAGCAGTGGGAAAAATGTCTTGATAGGTGTATCGCATCAAATGGAGAGTACTTTGAAGGTGACTGAATTTAAACATGTAAGAATAAATACACATTTTTTTATAAATAAATTTGGTGGGGGTTTTTTTGGTCCCCCCCCATACAAAAGGAACTGCAAAAATACCATTCTCTAGAGCGTTTTTTCAATTATTTGAGATTGCCCTTCCTAGCAATTGTCATCACTTTGGCTCAGATAAACTCATAAAAGTTCTCTACAGGTTTGGACATTTCTTACATTGACACTAATTACTGGTCCTGGTCATAAAGTGACAAGTAATTGAACAACAATAAAATAATTTAAATAAATAAATAAAGTGACAGGTACTCGCTCATGAGTCAGCAGCTTCACTCCTGATTGTGCACAGTGGAATACTATACAGCAAGGAAAAGGACAGCAGATAACAAAGAACACTCATGGGCGTGGCATTGAGGGAAAGGTGCCAGACAGAAAAGAATGCATTGCTGCTTTTGTTATATCATGTTGAGAAATAGGAAAACTCATCCATGGTGACAGGTTGGCATAGCTGGTGTCTAGGGTCAGGGGAAGTGACAGGAGAGAGCCCAGGGTGTTCCTGGACTGGAAATGTTCTAGAACCTCATCCAGGAAGCAGTCCCATGGACATACCATTGTAAAATGTCATTGAGCTGAACATTACTAGTCCTTTTTCTTTATGAAATTTGTATCTCAATCAAAGGTTAGAAACAAAAAAGCAGAGGCAGTGGGAGACATTCTGGAGACTCCTCTGAAAGTTAAACATAGAATGATGGTATGACCCAGCAATTCCACTTCTGGGTATATCCCTGCAAAAATGTAAAGCAGGTCCCCAAATCTTGTCTCGGAATGTTCATAGCAGCCCTATCCAAAAATGCCCAAAGGTGGAAACAACCCAAATGGCCATCAGTGGGTGAATGGCTAACCAACACAAGGTGTGTTCAGAGAGTGGCACACGACTCAGCCATGACGTGGACTGACGCACTGACACCGGCCGCAATGCGGGCGACCCTTGCAAAAGGTCAGTGGATCTTCTACCCACTATGCGGGCACTGAGCTCCTAAAATCCTTGGAATTTCCTGTGCAAAGGCTGAGAAAGGTGTGTTTTGTTATGTCAATCAGGTGATTTTGGAAAACTACCTAATGGGGGTGGTGGTTGCTGGCCAGTGCAGCCACGTGTTAGAAGATCAGAAGTTTCAGTCCCACCCCTGACCTCTGGGGAGGGGGAGGAGGGGCACTGGAAAGGCAGCACCGGCTGAAGACTTGATTAATCAGGCCCGCGTCAGGAAGCCTCCACAGAAACCCAGAAGCACGGGGCTCCAGGGCCTCCGGCTCGGTGAACATGTGGGGGAGTGAGGGTGGTGCACTCGGAGAGGACTGGGAAGCTCCACGGCCCTTCCCCGCACCTTGTCCTGTGCGTCTTTTCCTCTGGCTATTGATTCTCATCTTTTAAATTCTTTGTGACAAATCAGTAATCTAGTGAGCAAATGAGTTTCCGAAGTTCTCTGACATGCTCTAGCAAAATAATTTAACCCACGGTAGGGGCACAGTAACCTGCAATTTATAGGACAGTAGGTCAGAAACACAGGTGGCAACCTGGACTTGCAATTGGCATCTGAAGAGGGGTGTGGGTGGGGACAGTCTCATGGGACCGAGAGCCCTGAACCCACAGAGTCTGACTTGTTCTCCAGGTAAACAGCGCCAGAATCGGGTTGAATTATAGGGCGCCCAGCTGATATGGGAAAATTGTTGGTGTGGGGAACCCCCTCCTGACATTGGAATTGGGTGCAGAATATTTTAATGTAAAAGGTCCAGAACAGGCAAATCTATAGACAGCAGATTAGGGGTTGCCAGGGGCTGAGGGAGGAGGACTGGGGAGTGACTGCTGATGGAGACAAGGTCTTCTGGGATGATGGAATGTTCTGGAAAATATGGTTGTATAATATTGCAAATGTGCTGAATGCCATGGAATTGTTCACTTTCGAGTGTTGACTTCCCTGTTAATTTTCTGTGGAGCCTCTGGCCTGGACGGTCCCGGGAGAGCTGGGGAGGGCGGCGGAGACGCCTTCTACACCAGGTGTAGAAGAGCCAGCCAGCTGTGCGTTCAGGACTCAGGCGTCCTGAATGAAGACAGACAGGACCTGCACAGCCTGCGTGGACAGACATAGGGTCTCGTGCACTGATCGCCCTCACGGCCCCATTCGTTTTCATGTCACTAGAGAAGGAACAGGTGTGAGTGGAAGGAAAGGGCTGGGTTGAGCCTCCTGACCAGCTGCAGCCAGGGCGGTGCGGTGAGCGTCCGCTGCGTGCCTAGGGCTTCATGGGGCGTGCCTCGGGACCCTCTCCTCCTCTGGCGATAATCCCACCGCACAGAGTTGAGGCTGGGGCTCAGGGGGGCTGGCCTCACACAGCCAGTGGGTTTGTGCCAGGGGAGGGGGAGGGACCCTGTTCTTCCAGGGGGAGCCTTGCTGTGAGGCCCCCATTGGTCCTCGTACCTCTCACTTGCGCACGCCTGTCACACTGCACACACTCCCACCTCTGCTCCTCTTCTCCAGTGCCCGGGGCCAGGAGTCTCGAGCAGTGGGAGGTGGTCTGGGTGACCCGGGGAGGGGTTCCTGAAGCACCCCGTGCTCCTTCACTCCCTGGTGGCTGGTGAAGCCCTTTCTGCCCTAAAGCACAGCACTCCAATTCCTTGCCACCTCCTCTCTGGGGGGCCCAGAGCGGCTTCATCCCTGTCCCAACCTTCCAGGAACCCCCAGTCTGGGCAGACAGAGCCAACACAAACCCTCCCGGTCGCATAGCAAGGGGGCAACACTGGAATTTGAATCATGATCATGTCAACCCTTAGCATGTGCAAAATCCCCACTCCCTGTGTGTCCTCCCCACGACTTCCGTCACCACCTTTTACAGATGGGGAAGCTGAGGCTCTGCCCTTTGAAGCCCCATCTCCCACATGTCATAGCCAGGGAGCGCGAGGGCGGGAATGGGATCCCAGGCTGGCTTCTCTGGGGCTGACAGCTCTCCAGGTTATTGGGACACAGATCAGGGCACTTTTGGAGGCTTTTACATTTGGGAAAACCACAGACAGAGGGAACTTTAGAGTCCCACCCCAGGCCGAGAAATGCCAGGGAAACAGATGGCCAAGTGGGAGCCTGGGCATGTGCGACATCCCCATCGCAGAGCCGCCCTCGACAATACGCACCTACCTGTGCCTCTGGGGTTTGGTTCCCTCATCCGTTTGTGGAAACGTGCGTGAGTGGCGCCTGCAGCCCGGCGTTTAGCGAATGTTGCAGTCTCATCGTTATTGATCTGCAGGCCACCACCTGGGACAGCACCCCTTTGCCCTGCCCACCCACAGGTCCGGGGTGGCCGCAGTGGGCCTTGTTGACCTTGCCCTGCCATGTGAGGATTACTCAGCATTCCGCATACCTCTGGGGCCTGGCCTCTGCCAGCGTGTGTCAGGGTGACTGCGGAGGGAGTCCCAGCTCCTTGCCTAGTCATCCTGCACCCTTTACTGAGCACTAACTTTGTGCCAAGCTGGTGACGCAAGAGGCCCAGCCTCCTGAAAAGCCACGGTCAGGCTGGTAGATGGAGCACGTGTGTTCCCTGAGCACCTCCTGATTGTCTGGGGCATTATGGGGGCCGCAGGACCTTCCCATCACCCGTCAAGATCCCAGGGCACAGAGCCGAGGCTGAGACTCAGTGGGGGCCCTCGGCATGGCTGGCCCAGCACAGCCACAGGGCGTGCTGGGAGAGAGGGCTGAACTCTTCTTCCGGCGGGAGCCTTGCTGTGAGGTTCCCATTGGTCCCTGTACTTCTTGCCTGCACACTCCTGTCACACTTCACACACCCCTGCCATCTGCTTCACACGGCTGGTCCACCCTCCCCAGGCCGTGGGGAGGATGGACCAGCAGTGCCCAGGGCCCAGGAGTCCTGAGCAGTGGAAGAAGGTCTAGCTGACCCAGGGGGAAGGGTATTCCTGGGGCACCTTCTGCTCCTTCCCCAGCTGGTAGCTGGGTCTGGCACCAGCCCTCCCTCCCCTAAACCACAACACTGCAATTCCTTGCCACCTCCTCTCTGGACCCAGCCAAGGAACTGGTGCCCAGAGCAGCTTTATCCCTGCCCCAGCCTTCCGGGAGCCCCCTAGCCTGGGGCAGACAGAGCCAGCACGGACACCACCTGTGCTGAGGGCCAGGCCTGGGCTAGAGGAAGGGGTGGGGGATGGGAACACCCAGATGAGCCTGGAAAGTAATGTCAGAGAAGGCGGAGGAAGGGCTTTTTGAGTAGGGTCTGGAAGAATGAATAGGAGTTTCCCAGATGGGGATGAGCAACTGCAAAAAACACCCGGTGTATGAAGTGCCTACTGTGTGCCCGACTGTGTCCTTTGCACATCGTGTAACTCTCTCCAGTGAAAGTCTCAGTCCTTAATATCCAGATGAAGAAACAGAGGTGTGATGGAGTGGAATGATTTGGCCCAGGCAACACTTTTGGGGTCTTTCTGGCCCTTTCTCCTCTGCTGTTTTTCAACATCTTCAGCCTTTGGCCCTAACCAGAAAGGGGAGAAAGGGAACATCAAGGGGGAAGGAGGCCACATCTTAAGCTCTTGCTTTGGGGTTTATCGCATAATAGTAAGTCCTTTCTGAGTAAATCATTCTTCCCACCAAGCTAGGATGATGCCCCCATGTCACAGTCGAGACCACTGAGGCTCAGAAGCATTCTCGAGAGGGGGCTTCCCCAGCTGCCCCGACAGCACGACCCTCCAAGTATCTGTCTCTCCTTGGAGAGAAGCCGTAGACCCTGCCCAGCTGTGATTCCTGGAGTGTTTACTGTGCTCCGGGGGCGGGCTGGACCAGGCAGGCGGGGGCGGACAAAGTCCAGGGAATATAAAGGCCTGGCCAGCAGCCTCCGCTCAGTCCCTGTTCAGAGCACCGGGAGCATAATCATGCCAGGGCAACGACCCACGATGCTGTGCTGTCCTGCAGTGCTGCTGGTGCTGCTGACGCTCTCGTGGCTGCCGTCGGGAGGAGCCCTATCTGTGGCCCAGGAGCACCTCCCGGCCTTCCCTGGGCCCTCAGAGGTGCACTCCAGTCCGAATATCTTCAGATCGTGGGAGCTGCGGAAACGATATGAAGATTTGCTGACCAGGCTTCGAGCGAACCAAACCTGGGAAGACTCGAACCCTAACCTCATCCCTGCCACTCAAGTCCAGATACTAACCCCAAAGCGTGAGTGAAATCTCAAATATGCATCCTCAGCTCCCACCCCGGCAGCTTCTATCATCTAACCAGTGGTTCTGAGTCACAGAGCATGACGCCAAGTCTCAGTTTCCCCATCTGTGAGCCAGACAAGAACGGCCCCCACTCGGGGCTGATGAGGGAGCTACTGTCCTGCTGCATCGGGACAAGGCGAGGCTTAGCCAGCATGAAAAAGGAGAGTTACGTTTTCTCAGATAGCAGATGGGGAAACTGAGGCCGAGTGCAGCCAGAGACTCTCCCGAAGGCTCACAGAGCCTGGGGAGCTCTGAAACGAGGTGGGACCTGGGCAAGCGGTCCCTGTCCTGGATGTAACAGGGTTTGAGGGTGGGCGGGATCCGAGAGGAAAGATGGAGGGACAGGTTGGGGGACGGGAGTGGCGGTTGGCGGACTTAGCAGTGCACAACAGCTGGCAGAACCAACCAACTGGAGCTGGTTTTGAATCTGATGCAGTCGCGATGCAAGGCACCGCTAAAGTCTCCTGTGGTAGGTGCCTAGAAACAAGGAGGGAGTATTTTCACGTCCCCCAGCCTGAGGAGGCTCCTGGATGCAGAGAGGGCGGAAGAAGATCTGGGCTGCGCTAGGAACTTGGAGGGGTGGGGTGGAGAGGGAGCGCTCCTATCCAGCCCTAATCCCCAGGGCCGCGAGACTTCAGGTAAACCTCTCACCCTCTCCAAGCCCAGGGAGCCCGCGGTGGGTGCTCGTGCAGCTACTCAGACCCAAGTCCCCATTGTGTCCCCCACACCTGTCCCAGCCTGGGGGTTTGTGAATCCGGGAAGTCTGGTACCTTTCACTCCTCAAATAGGAAACCAGGACCCAAGGAATTGAAAACATAATGGCTGGTGCTGAATCCCCAGTCCCAGACACTTAAGAGGCCTTCAGTGAAAAAGTTTGGACTGCCAAGAGAAGGCAGAATCAGCATTTGAATCTCGGGATCTCTAAATATTGGATATTTATTAATTCTGCCAAATATTTACTAAGCACCTACTGTGTGCCAAGCACTGTGGTGACCAGGCAGACAGAAATTCCTACTGAGATTCTAGTAGGGGCGATGAAATGATACAGTACAACCAAATAAAACACTGTGGCGCCTATTTTAGGCAGGCTGGAAGAATTCAGGGGAAGAGTGTGGCTGAAAGAGTGAAGAGTGAAGGAAGTGGGTTATACAATGGCCCTGAGGGGGGATCCAATCTGGCTCGTGAAAGGAAATGGGCACATTCATGCCTGGCACACAGTAGGCCCATGGGTGACTGGCCTTCCTCTCTTTCTCCCACAGTAACACTTGGACCAGGCGGCCACCTGCATCTGCGCATCCCTCGGGTCAACCTGACTAAGGGGCTCCCCGCAGCCTCCCGCCTGCATCGGGCCCTGCTCAGACTGTCCCCGCCAGAATCGAGCTCGTGGGATGTGACGCGACTGCTGCAGCGTCACATTGGCAGCCTCGGAGCCTCCGGGGCGTCCACACTGGGCCTGCACCTGCTGCCGCCTTCGGATCGGTGGCTGGTTGCATCACCTTCAGCACAGCTCAGGCTGGAGCTGCACTGGCGGCCAAGCACCCGCAGGGGGCGCCGCAGCGCGCACGCGCGTTCCCAGGACGGCTGTCCTCTCGGGGAGGGGCGATGCTGCCGCCTACAGAGCTTACGCGTGTCTCTCGAGGACTTGGGCTGGTCAGACTGGGTGATTGCGCCGCGTGAGCTGGATGTGGGTGTGTGCAGCGGTGCGTGCCCGAGCCAGTTCCGATCGGCTAACAGGCATGCCCAAGTGGTGGCGCGTCTGCACCGCCTGAAGCCTGGGCTCCCTCCTGCGCCATGCTGCGTGCCCTCCAGCTACAGGCCGGTGGTACTCATGCACCGGGATAGCGAGGGCCGTGTGGTCCTCACACCCTACGACGACCTTGTGGCCGATGACTGCCACTGCTTATGAGCTGACCTAGGCCTTCACTTACAGCACGTGCACAATGGAGGTGACCTCGGTCCTTGCCTGTCAGATGGAATAGGCTAGTGGGACCTGAAATACCCTATCATAACCACTGCCGTCTGCGGCCTCCAACCTGCACTGCTGTATTTATAAGTTGGTATTTATTATTAATTTATTGGGGCTACCGGCCTGGGGACCAGAGGGTTTGGGGAGGACTGGGCCAGCAGAGTGTGCAGTTATTTAAACTCTGGTTAATAAAAATGAAGCTGTCTGACTCGACTCTGTGATGACTTGACTCTGTCAGCTGTCTGTGATGCTGATAGAGCTGGGGACCTTGGGAAGGGCCTGCCCCTGGCTGGCCCCACTTCCCACAGGAGACCTGGTATAGGGGTGAATGATAGGGTTCAAGGAATGGGCAGCGGGGTGTTCTTGGAGATGACAGGCAATTGGGTGTAATGGCCTCAAGGGCAGCCTGGGACAGATCTCTCTCTGCCTCCATGCCTGCACAGCCCCTGTCTCTCTCTGAGGGTGCCCATCTCCTCATCTCTCATTACTCCTGTTTCTGGACGACTTAAAATATACTGGGCCCTGGCTGGTGTAGCTCAGTGGTTTGAGTGCGGGCCTGCAAACCAAAGCAGGTTTGATTCCCAGTCAGGGCACATGCCTGGGTTGTAGGCCAAGTCCCCAGTGGGGGGCGCACAAGAGGCAACCACACATTGATGTTTCTCTCCCACTCTTTCTCCTTCCCCTCTCTCTAAAAATAAATAAATAAAAATCTTAAAAAATATATACTGGTATATTAGAGGTAAAACAGATCTAGAGACTAATTCTATGACCGCATTTTACAAATGGGGGGGACCGAGACCGTGCCTCCCAATGCCCCAGCCATAGTTCTACACCTTTATTAGGATGTTTACAAGTAAGAAAAAGAAAAGGCTCAGTGGATTGAGCTCTGGCCTGCAAACCGAAAGTTCGCAGGTTTGATTTCTAGTTAGAGCACATGCCCGGGTTGTGGGCCGGGTCCCCAGTTGGGGTTGAGCTAGAGGCAACAGGTCAATGTTTCTCTCTCTCTCTCCCTCCCTCCCTGTCTCTAAAAATAAATAAAATCTTGACATATTCATCCAGAGGGGTAGGAGAGGTGGTGTGCTGTGGAAAGGCTGTGGCAGCAGCGGGGGTTGGGGGTTGGAGACACAGGCAGGAGGGATACCTTAAGGGAGCGATCCCAGCCCTAGGCCAGACTGCGCAGCCCGGAGCTCCAGCGTAGGGAAGATAGATCCTCCTTACCTCATTACTTCGTTACTTCGTTACTGGCTGTAAAAACCAGTGGGGGTTGGGATGTCGGAAGAAATTGCTGGATTTTCGCTGCTTAAAGGGTCCATACAGTCTAAGAATGTACACAAACCCAGCCACTCAGGGATTCGCCACAGGGGTACCAGTCGCATACCGGAAGGGAGTGAAGTGATGGGGGACCAGCAGAATCCAGGCTGTGGCATTGTCCCCTCTCTGAGCCCTCCCCAGGCAGTCCCAAAGCAGTGAAGTAGGTGTCCTGCCCTGGCAATTACCTAAGACTCTGCCACACATAATTTACAAGTGATTTTTCTACATAGGCCACACTACTAAGACAGGGAGTAAAAACAGCTCTATCTAATACACAGAAACAAACACAGGGAGACTGCTAAACTGACAAGAGAAAGAAATATGGCCCAAATAAAAGAACAGAACAGTCAGATAATGTGTTTCTCTCCCTCTCTCCTTCCCTTCCCCTCTAAAGATAAATAAATAAAATCTTAAAAAAAAAAAAAAAAAGAACAGAACAAACTCCCAGAAAAGAAACTAAGTGAAATGGAGATAGCCAGCCTATCAGGTGCAGAGTTCAAAACACTGGTGATCAGGATGCTCAGAGAACCCCTTGATTATGGCAAATAAATAAAGAAAAAAATGAAGGTTACACTACATGAAATAAAGAATAATCCAGAGGAAATCAACAGAGAAGGGAAGGAAGCTGGGATTCAAAACAATGTGGAACATAAGAAAGAGATAAACATTCGACCAGAACAAAAAAAGGAACAAGAATTTAAAAAAATGAAGATAGGCTTAGGAACCTTTGAGACATCTCCAAACGTGCCAACATCCGAATTATAGGGGTGCCAGAAGGAGAAGAGGAAGAGTAAGAAATTGAAAACTTATTTGGAAAAATAATGAAAGAAAACGTCCCTAATTTGGTGAAGGCAATAGACATACAAGTCCAGGAAGCACGGAGAGTCCCAAACAAGTTGGACCCAAAGAGGATCACACCAAGACACAACATAATTAAAATGCCAAAGGTTAAAGTTAAAGAGACAATCTGAGAAGCAGAGAGTTACCTCCAAAGGACTTCCCATAAAACTATCAGCTGATTTCTCAAAAGAAACTTTGCAGGTAAGAAGGGACTGGCAAGAAGTATTCAAAGTGATGAAAAACAAGGACCTGCATCCAAGATTACTCTGTACTGCAAAGCTATAATTTAGAATAGAAGGGCAGATAAAGTGCTTCCCAGACAAGGTAAAGCTAAAGAAGTTCATCACCCCCAAGCCATTATAGAAAATGTTAAAAGGACTAAGAAAAAGAAGATAAAAATCATAAACGTTAACAAGGCAACAAACTCAACTATCAACAATCAAATCTAAACAAACAAACAAATAAACAAACTAAGCAAACAACCAGAACAGGAACAGAATCATAGATATGGGTATCATTTGGAGGATTACCAGTGGGGAGGAGGAAGTGGAAGAATGAGGAAATGGTGCAGGGATTAAGAAGTACATCTGGAGGGAACAAAATAAGGGGAAGTTACGAATAGCATAGGAAATGGAGAAGCCAAAGAACTTATATGCACGACCCATGGATGTGAACTAAGGAGGAGGACTGCTGGAGGGAAGGGGGTACTGGGCGGCAAGGGTCGAAGGGGGAAAAAATGGGACAACTGTAATAGCATAATCAATCAAATATTTTTAAAAAGAACTCTTAAGTGGTCACAAAGATGGCTGAATTGAAATAACTACCAAAAAAATCTTCAAAAAAGAAAGAAAGGGGGTGGCATCCTGGGTAAGAGAATGGCTTCCGGAGGGAGGTGGGCTTGGTGGGGATGAGGCCCAGACCACAAAAGCAGGGGGATGGGAGAGGGCAGTGAAGTAGGCAGGCCTGGATCCTGCCGTCCTCAAGTACCAGGCTGAAGATCCAGAGACAGTGGGGAGCCCTGGAGAGTGTGCGAGCAGTGGAGGGGAACAGTCCCGATTCATAAGTCACAAAAATCCGTCTGAGGTTGGCATAGGCCGCCATGGGGGCTGAGTCTGGATGCCAGGCGCCTGGGAAGCAGGCCTGAGAAGGGCAGAGGGAAGAGACTGGAGAGAAATTCAGAAGTCCCAGCGATCTAGTTCTGAGAACTCAGGAAGTTCCCACTGAAAGGAACCTTTACTCCCCAGCCAGCAGCTTCCTCATCTGCCGCACGGTGTTTATTGAACGCCACCTGCATATTGAGAGGAAGGTGACAATAGTTTAAACTTTGAGCCTCCTGTGTCTGTGTTGGGGTCTCTCCTCTTTCCTTTCTAGCAGCCAAAGGTGCTGAAGAGCAGAGCGGGCGCTGAGGACGGACCTCTAAGACAGTTCCTCCCTGTCCCCATTCCTCAGATTGGAAGACCGAGGCCGGGAAAGATCCAGAATGGCCCTGGAAGAGGGCAGGCTGCAGTTCAGGCCATTGCAGGCTCAATGCCCAGGGATCACGTACTCATCAGCCAGTGGGGTCTGGCCCAGGAACTGCACGTTGCCGTAGATGGGCTGGGAGGCCTGGTGGGGGCTCTGGGAGGCCTGGGGGATGCGTTCGTAGTTCATGTAGAGGTCATTGTCCTCTGAAGGGTGAGCCCTGTGGGGACAGACAGAAGGGTGGGAAGGAGAACTCGGGGTAGACACATCAGCTGTGAGAGGCAAAGAAAGTTCAGGGTGGCCGAGTCAGCTCCTAACATTTACATACAAGGAAACTGAAGCACGAGGCACTGTTCTCCCAGCTGCAGCTTTCTCTGAGGAAAGGAAGTCAGGGTCAGTGAGTCTGGGAAGACCCTGTCGGTCCAGCCCTGTAATGCTGTGGTCCAAGGACCTTGAGCCATTTTAAGATTTTCCCCCGCCCTTAAAGTTGAGATGGTTGCCCATTTTTTACATAAAAATCTAGACTTCAGTTTCCGCTAGAAAAATCGGAAGCTCTGGTCACACCAGCCACATGAGCACAAGAGGCCGAAGCCAGTGTCTGCCACTTTAGACGGAAAATGTTTCTACGGTCCCTGAAGCAGTGCACTTTGTGACTGCAATATAAAAGTAAGCCTCTAAGGCTCAGTTTCTGCATCCATAAAATTAGTCGGGGAGGAGATTGATTCTTAGCAATGTCTAGGTATGGCAGGCAAGACTCTCAGAGAACCTTCCCGCATCTAGAACATTCTAATCCCACCCTGGGTGCTCTTGTAACAAAGGCCACTTTGGGTAAATGGTGTCTGACTGCCATTCACACTACAGTATGAATTACTCCAAACACATATGGTTGTATGGGGATGGACAGGACTGGGAGTCAGGGTTTGTTTCCTACCTCTGCTTCTGACTCACTGTGTGACCTTGGGCAAATCATTCCCCTCCCTCCCAGAGCCTAACATTCTGAAATTGTAAAATGTAGAGGACGAATGGCACATCCAATCCTAAATGTTTTTGGAAGAGACTGGCCCTGAGCCCTTGGTGAGAGTAAGGCAGAGGCGAGCAGCAGAACACAAGCTGCCTTAGTGAGTGCGGCTCCTTCGAATCCCTACTGCAGTCCACTTCTTCTTTTAAGCCACATTTTCATCTGCTTTGCATATTCTCTCACTTCTCATCAATAGACTGCCACCGGTCTCCCCACACGTGGGTCTCGCTGCTCAAACCCAGTCTGAACCCTTTCCCCTTCTCGCTTGGATCCTCCCAACTCCTTCAGCCTCAGCTCTGATGTCCTGCTGTTTCCAAATCCACTGACAGCAGATTCTCTGTTCTTTCCCACTTTCTGACATGTGTTTCTGCTGATGCCCACCCTGCCCCGTGCCCCACGACTCCCCGTCCATCCTGGAAAAGGTGAACCTATCTATCCAACCCCAGCCTGATGTAGAGGTGCCGGGACTTCGTAGGGGAGAGGGACACACAGATGGCTTTCCTAGCAACTCCCATGTGTCTAAGGGAGATCAGGGGAGGGCTGTCCCCATTACACAGAGACGGAAACAGTGGTTCAGAGACAGCTCTGGGTCACACGAGACCTGCTCCCAGGCTGCTGACTGCCACCACAGAGCTCCGACTCTGCCCGGAGCACTTGCCTCCTCTCTCCCCATCCTTGGCCGCTAGAAACTGGGTTTGTGGGTCATGAAGTGGGAGCCCGTCCCACCTACAGAAGCTTACTTCGTTCTTACCCTAACTCCATGAGGTGGAGGCTGCTATTATCCCCATTTTGTAGGTAAGGAATCTGAGGCCCAGAGAGCGAAAAATTACTTGCTCGAGATCACAAAGAAGCCTGCAAGAGGTAGAGCTGGGATCTGAACCCTAGCCATCTGGCTTGAGCCTTGCAGACAGATGCGTGTAGGTCACTCACCTGTGTTTGGTCCACTGGTACTCAGCAGGTGGCTGGCCCACGAATACATTCTCATAGTCAGGCGTGTGGGGCCTGGGCAGGGTGTCCGCTGGTTGCTTAGGGCTGTGGCTCCGGCTACTGTACCTCGGCTGCCGGCTGGAGCCAGACCTAGTACCATCTGCAGCAGCCCATGTTTTGCCCAGGCTCTGGCTCCTGGGTGCCCGGTGTGCCCGGAATCTCCAGACCAGAAATGAGCCAGCTATGAAGAGCCCAAGGAGCAGGCTTCCGCTGGCTGCCAGGATCCCAATGGTCATTAAAGACAGGCCAGGTGGGCAACCGACCTCCAGGAAGGTGGAGAGGTTGTGCCAGGTGCCAGCTCCTGCATCCAGGCACTGCAGAAGTGGTGGGTCGGAGCAGTTCTGGTCCTGCCGGACCTTGTGCCAGGAGGCTAGGACGCAGCGGCAGTCGGCCTTCAGGTCAAGGCTGCAGTTTGCTGCCAGCATTTCAGGCATGTGTTCCAGGGGGTTGTGTGTCACATCCAGGATCTGCAGGTGAGGAAGGGTGGCAAAGAAGAGCCATGGGAGCTCTCGAAGGCCATTACCGGACAGGTCGAGGAGGCGAACTCTGATGGCCTGCAGAGACTTGTTCCGGGGCAGGATCAGGCTTTGACCGCTGAAGTTCAGGCATGTGTTTTTGAACTCCCTACTCCAGTCCACATTTCCCGAGGACACGTTGCAGGACAATCCCAGGCTGCATGGATCCTGCAGCAGCAGCAGCAACCACGGTGCCCACGCCAGGGCGCCCTCCATTCAAGCAACCTAAGCAGAGACACCAGAATCTAAACCCTGACCTCTGCCTGTGGTCACCCTCACCCTCACCACCTGGGTTTATTATTAGTTAGGGTTTTTTTTTTTTTCAAGATCTGAGAACATCTCAGGCTGCTTCTGGTAACAGGCAAGCCTTCACTTGTCACCCCCTCACTGCTTCACTCTGGCTTCCAGCCTCAGTCTCTTTTCTGAGAAATGGGTACGTAAGCCCAGAGCCCATCTTGGAGGGTGAGGAGAAGACCTAGACCGTGTCCCCTTTCCCTTCTCCCAGATGAGTTCCTTGAGTTTGGCCCAACACCCCAATATTTCTGGCAGCTTCATTGACCAAGATGGGACCACATGCAAATAAGTGGTTGCCCTGCAAATGGCCCCGCCCCCCGAACTACGATAGCTGGATAGCTGGGAGTCTGGGACTGGACTGCTTGGAGTGGGGGCTGCCGACCTCTGACTTGCAGCCCCTGCACAGACCCCAGTTCTAGCCTCCGTCTTACCTTTGCAGGCCCGCCTTTACGAGTTGACCTGGGCAGTGCTGGAAAGCTTCCGCTCAGAAAAACTTCTTGGTGGCTCACCTGGACTGGGGTCCCAATGGCCGGCACCCTCTCAGATACTCTGTGGTCCCTGGGGCTCCTCAGACTCTGCACCCAGCAACGGAGGGGAAGAGGAACTGCTCTCCGGGTGGAGTGCAGAGGTCAAGAATGAAGAAAACACAAAGACCCGCCCTTCTGCAAGGCCTCCAGGCTCAGGATTCTCACAGGAGGGGGAGGGGTGGCCTGCTTCCCTCTTGCTATAACACGGTCATCCCCTACTAACACCCCAACTGACTGCTACCTCATCAACTCACTTCCTGGTCTTAGCTCGGTTGACTCCCAACTCTTGCCTTCATTTATTCATTCAACAAACATGAAGAGGTCTCAGCCCTGTCCAGATTTCTGAAGAAGAACCAGTCTTGAGAGAGGACAGAGCTGGACACAGACAACCCTCGTCCCATGGAGGCAGAGAAGGGCTAGAGGGAGGGACAGAGTCCTGGATGCTTTCTTGGAAAAAGGAGACATTAAAATTGGGGCTTTAAGATGTTTGCATTCATAGATGTTTGCTGAGGATTCCTAGAATGTGCCTTTGACTCTCCAAGCTCCTAGCTTCCCCCTCAGACTCAGGGCTCTTACTCATGTACAAAGACTCCTCCATGCTGAGTGGGAGGGTGTGAGAGGGTCTCCTGGGGGAGAGGACATTGAGTCTGGGGCTTGGACAACGAGTCTCAGTGGCAGCGGTGGCAGGCAGAGAAACAAATGCACTTACAGGTTCCAGGCAGAAGGCACAGCAGGAGCAAAGGCCTGGGCCCTGGGCTCAAAGCATGGACCCTGGGCCTGGTGGTTAGGAATGGAGAGGCTGGAGTGAGGATGCTAAGGGGAGGAGCTGGTGGTATACGCGTGGGAAGTGGGGGACGGCACAGGCCTGGAAACAGACTGAGGAGCGGGGCTCTTTCTCAGGCCCTTGGGAAACCAAGGCTGATGTGTAAGAAGGGGCGATGCGTAGGCACTGGGTCAAGACACACATCTGGGCCCCCTGGTGCTGACCACAGGCTGCGTTCCCACACTGCCTATACGGAAAGAGGAGGCAGAGTAAACCACCCCACATACACCTCAGCCCAGGCCCTTTGCCTGGTCTGTACTGTGAATGGGGGGACAAGGAGTGAAAAAAGACACACATCTGGAGTGAGCCTGGGGCCTGGAGGTGGAGCCTGGGGAGGAGGCTGGATCCCAGAGGGCAAGGGGGATCCCTGAGTCAGACCTGAGGGGTAGGGACAAAAGTGAGACTGCGGAGGAAGCGGCAGGGGTGGGTTTGGAGTGTCTCGGCCCCGCTGGAGTCCCAACATCAGGCGGACCCGGTTCAATTCCATTTTAGCCCCTGACTCACTGTGTGGCCTTAGCTGCTCTGTGCCTCAGTTTCCACACCTGTAAAATGGGAGAAGTGCTAAGAGGCTTCTGGACTCTGGGAGGCTGCAGTTCATTCCCTCGGCTTTACGTGGTCCTCAGACTCAGGTTTTGAGCTGAGACTTTGCAGAAAGGGTTGCAAACTGTTCTTCAACACAGCCAGATACTCCTAATAAGAAAATGCACATCGCAGCAACTCAGACTCTCTTTGTTTTCACGCATCAGTTTGACAGGAGCCCGACGGTGTGAAAACACCGGTGCCGGCTGTGCCGTGAGGAAACAGGCGACCCACACTTGCGGGGGAGCATGCGCAGTGCTGCCCCATGGAAGGCACTCGGCACAGGCTGCCAGAATCGTGCACATATGCGTCCGCTTACCCAGCGATTCCGCTCTGGGACTCCCTCAAATATCTCCTAGTTTGCAGAAGGGTACGGGTGTGAACTGATGAAAGATAAACACGATGTGGATTATCCACAGCATGAATATTACTCAGCCACACAAGGTCTGTCTGGGAAAAGTCCAGGCAACACTAACGAAACGAGAATAGCTCGTGTGACATCGATGTAACCTGGCAACCTGGAAGCCGAGGAGAGTGGACTGGAATGCGCGGGCTTGAACAATGAGGACCTCACTGTACTAAGCAGTGGGCGCGGTAGATGTCGGTGGTGAGGGAGCACCTGTGGGTATCACATTCAAAATGACTGAGTGAGTAGAGCAATGAGTCTACATCAAATTTTGCTTTAATTTGATGAAAACTATTAAGATGATTCGGAAGGCCACAGCTATGGGCAACTGGTGATTGGAAGCTTCATCATGACAATGTGCCTGCTTGTGCATCACGTCTCATGCTGAGGAGCGTTTTTTTTTTAGATTTTATTTATTTAATTGTGGAGAGAAAAGACATGAGGGAGAAAGAGGGAAAGAGAAACGTCACTTGATTGCCTCTTATACATCCCCAACTGGGGACCTGGCCCGCGCCCCAGGCATGTGCCCTGACCAGGAATCGAACCAGCAACCTTTTAATTACCAGGTCAGCACTCAATCCACCGAGTCCCACCAGCCAGGACTAGAGTTTTTTGATGAAACCTCAAATCACTCAGGTGACTCAGGCCCCCTGCAGCCCAGATTTGGTGCCCTGCAACTTCTGGCTTTTCCTAAAACTAAAATCACCTTTGAAGGGGCAGAGATTTCAGATTGTTGGTGAGATTCGGGAAAATATGATGGAGCAGCCATTGGCAACTGGCAGAACCGTGTGAGCCCCAAGGTGCCTGCTTTGAAGGAGACCGAAGCATCATTGTCCTATGTACGATGTTCTTGTGTCTTGTATCTCCTTCTATAAATGTCTCTACATTTCATATTACATGGCTGGATACCTTCTGGACAGACCTCACGAAAAAGGACTGAACACTGACGAAACCTACAATTTGGATAAACCTGGAAAATCATGGCAAGTAAAAGAAGCCAGACATAAAAGGCCACATGTTGGATGCTCCTATTGATACGAAATGTCCAGAACTGGCGAATCCACTGAGACAGAAAGCAGACTGGTGGTTGCCAGAAGTGGGGGAGGGGCATAGGGAGTGACTGTAATGGGGACCGGGTCTCCTTTTGGATTGATGATGGAATGTTCTGGAACCAGATGGAGGTGCTGGTTGTACAACATGGTAAATGCACTGAATGCCACCGAATTGTTCACTTTAAAATGGCTAGCATGGCAAATTTTATTTTAAGTAAGTGTATTTTGCACAATAAAGAAGATAAATCAGAAAGATGACACGACAGTTAGATGATTCATCGTAGCAATGTTTGTTATGTGAAAAAAATTGTTAACAGTCTAAGGGGTTGGTCAGGTTAAAAACAGTTCATCTATTTTGGCGGGGCAGGGTAGGGGCAGTGCCACAGAACCATGAAAACAAAAGTATAGACCTTTATGAACAAATATGGAGAGACTCATTTATTTCCTTCACAAACCCTTATTAAGTTCCTACTGTGTGCCCTGGTTAGTGTGGCTCAGTGGGTTGAGCACCAGCCTGCAAACCAAAGGGTCGCCAGTTCGATTCCCAGTCAGGGCACATGCTTGGGTTTTTGAGCCAAGTAGGGCCCCCAGTAGGGGACGCGCAAGAGACAATCACACATTGATGTTCCTCTTCCTCTTTCTCCTTCCTTTCCCCCCTCTCTAGAAATAAATAAATATTTTTTAAAAATTCCTATTGTGTGCAGGGCACAGGTCTAGGAGTGGTGGATATAGCCAAGAACAAAACAGATAAAACGCCTGTCCCTGTGCGGTTCTTGGACCAGTCACAGAGACAGGGGACAGGCAGCATCCATCAGGAAAATAATATGCAATGGATGGGTAATGAAGAGAAAAATAAGAATGAGAACCCATTGGCCAGGATGGGGACTTTTCAATGGGATGATCAAAGGAGTCTTTATTGAGAAGGATGAAGGAGCTTATTGAGTAAGGAGGTGGGGAAAGGCAGCCAAGAAGGCAGCACGGAACAGCCTGTGCAAAGGCCCTGGGGTGGAAGTTGGCCTCAGTAAGAGCAGATGTCTGAGTAAGAGAGAAAACATTAACTTAAAAAAGCAAATAATAAGCCCTGGCTGGTGTAGCTCAGTGGACTGAGTGCAGGCTTGCGAACCAAAGGGTCGCTGGTTCAATTCCCAGTCAGGGCATGTGCCTGGGTTTCAGGCCAAGCTCCCAGTAGTGGGTGCGTGAGAGGCAACCACACACTGATGTTTCTCTTCCTCTCTCCTTCTGTTCCCCTTTCTCAAATAAATTAATTAATTAAATCTTTAAAAAAACCCAAATAATAATTTTCTAGATTTTATTTACATCAAGAAACTTTGGATGAGACATGAAAAACAAATACCCATAGTTACTTCTCATTGGCAGGCGGGTAGGAGGGAAAAATCTCACCATGTATGTTTTAATATTTTTAATTTTAGGATCTTATCATTTTACTTGAATGCAAATTGCGGTCAGAATAAAAATTTTAGCCCTGGCTGGTGTGGCTCAGTGGATTGAGTGCCAGCCTGCAATCCAAAGGGTCTCTTGTTTGATTCCTAGTCAGGGCACAAGTCTGGGTTGCAGGCCAGGTCCCCAGTAGGGGATGCGCAAGAAGCAACCACACACTGATGTTTCTCTCCCTCTTTGTCCCTCACTTCCCTTCTCTCTAAAAAATGAGACAAAACAAAACAAAACAGAATAAAACATTAAAATTAGCCAGCAGGCACACACAAGATACTCAGGCTTTCAGGACAAGAGGGGTCCCAGCTGGCCTGGGTGCAAGCGGGCCATCTCCCATATCTCACACCCTGGGAGAAGCTGACAGTGTCCAGCACTGAGACTTCTTAGAATAAGAGGAAATGTGGAAATGAGGAAGCACC